TAGTAGCTAAAAGAATACTGGAACTGGAATCCCAAAAGCCTGCCCTTTTCAAAAGCTCACCGGAGTGATCACTGGAGTTGGCACCAGAGGGTAAAGCATGCAAGTCCAATAGCACTCCAATATCATGTTGATTAGCCTTTTCAATGTATTGTTCTTTTAGGATGTTCCAAGAATCAGCATATACCTTGGAAACCTTTTCAAAATTAGTGCCTGAAGTAAAAGCACCGCCATCCACATGCCAGTAGCCGACTGGAATTCTGATTGCTTCCACTCCTTTATCTTTCAGCCATCTCCAATCATCGTCATTTATATAATCCTGATAATGCTTGTCAAGTAATGCCTTGGTTTTACTGACCCCCTGACTTCTGATCTGATTCTTTACAGCGTCTAGTTCGCAATTAGCACCTTCAATGAAAATATCACCGTAGATATACTTCTCCAAGACGAATAGGCTTCCAAAATTCACTCCAAACGAGTTCCTCGATTGAAATATCTGCTTGCGAGAAGCATCCCCGCCAGAATTCACAGAATAGCAGATTGTGTCAATAGATGAGGCTAAGTTGAGCACCTTGAACTTATCAAGCACCATGCCGAAGTAAGGAACTATGAAACTTGTGCATCGAACCTCAGTCTACCTTCGAAAACTATATTGCTTCTGTCGCTGTGAGGCAGTGAGTTCACTACATAGCTTCTGTCGTGACGTAGATGAGCCGCACCCCTATTGCTCTAGAACCTTCAAAAAAATTGTCCACCCCTGAAAATTACCTAGTATGTAAATAGAAAGATCTCAGAAGTCAGAAAACAGGGAAACAAGGGTGGCATGCAAGGGCACAACACTTAAAATACATGTTATTCTTGACATTGGCAACTGGCTGTTTTTTTTTATCACCATAAGAACAATTTGAATGGATCCTTCCTAGAGCTCAGATCCAATGTTACGTAATCTCATGACCATCGAACCACTTATTCTGTGTAAAAAAAACTAATCTTCCTACCTTTACTTACTCACTAGGTTTTCAAACGAAATGATTGATCTGCCAAAATTGGAAGATTACGATGTGAGCCCCAGAACAGGGTTTCTTCCTGAAGAGCTACCTCTAGAGAGATTGCCTCAGGAGTACTACAAACCATGGGAAGATCTGGTTAGCGTTTTGTCTTCGTTGATACTAACCAAACGGATTAGAAATGTTGTGGATGAGAAGATGCCTCTTCTGAAGGTGGATAGACTTACAAATGATGCACAATATAGACGTGCTTATTCAGTTTTGACATTTCTGGCACATGCTTATGTCTGGGGAGTAGGAGAACCCAAAGACAAACTTCCTATTCAAATCTCACAGCCACTCCTTCAAGTTAGTGCTCATTTGGAAATTCCTCCTGTTTTAACCTATAGCGGGTGCGTTTTATGGAATTACAAGGAAATATTTAAAGGGGAAGATATGAGTTTAGACAACATTGACTGCATCACAACATTCACAGGGGGTATTGATGAGAACTGGTTTTATCTGGTTTCAGTTTATTTCGAGTACAAAGGAGCTAACTGTATTGTTCAAGGGCTAGAGGCGTTGAAAAGCGCCCGAAATGGAGAAATAGAAAAGGTCACCGCTCATTTGCAGCAAATGGCTGGTGCTATTGATGAGTTGGGCTCCGTTATGATGCAAATGGAAGACATGTGTGATCCTCATATTTTCTACTTCCGTATCCGTCCCTATCTCGCTGGCTGGAAAAACATGACAGATGCGGGCTTACCAAACGGTGTAATATATGGAAATGAAAAACTTCCTCGGGCATACTCTGGAGGATCTAATGCTCAAAGTTCCTTAATTCAGGCACTGGATTTGTTATTGAACGTGGAACATCATGCCACGGGTGAAAAAGAAAAACTTGGAAGCTCTGGCCACTCATTCATCAACGAAATGAGGGAGTATATGCCTGGCAAACACCGCCGATTCCTTGAACATCTTTCCAAAGTTAATAATATTCATGAATACGTGCGTTCGAACAGCGGCAATGAAGAGCTAGTCTTATCATATGATGCTTGTTTGGCAATGTTGAAATCATTCAGAGATAAGCATATTCAAATTGTCACTAGATACATCATTCTTCAAGCTCAGAAGTCCCGGAATCTTGGGTCCACCTCTACTAAGACTGTAAGATCAGGCCTTGCTAAAAAATCCTCCTCCCAACAGGAGAGGGGAACTGGGGGGACTGCCCTTCTCCCCTTTCTGAAGCAATGCAGGGATGAAACTGGTAGCACCGCTGCATCTTCTTGGGGTAAAAGAATGCTCGTTGACGGAATGCTGCAATTAAACATTAAACCTGTATCTGCTGATAGCGTCCAAGATGATGATAACATTGTTGGTTTGGCAGGATCTTGGAATAACGATAACGATCAGAAAAAAGGACACTGGTAGTTGGGTAAGCCCTAGAAGAGTTTCTGTAGAACTTTCTAGATAGTTTGTGTATTATTACGATGGTATTCGTTTTTTGACTCTTTTCATTTAGTAATCAATCATCCCTCTTTTTCTTTTTTTGCCCATTGCTAGACTTCTCATCTTCCTCTTCATCTCCCTCCTCGTCATCCATGCATTCGGCATCAAAATTGACCCTGTCTGCTCCATTCTCTTCGTTGAGTTTCTTCAAATGCCTAACATAGGTAGAACTGCTGAGGGAAAATATTCTATCATTGTCTGTAAACTGGTACCTCTTTCTTGCTGCAGGATTGTTGTTGGAATGGGAACTTTTAGTGAAGTTTTCAAACCCTTTGATGATGTTGCCATAGGAGCTGTTATTGGTAAGATAAGCTGTCTCCATATTGAATATATCCTCTTCTATTGCAGTTAGCTCATCGTCCATCTGCTTCTTTTTTAATACTTTTTGATGGAGCTCTTTTTTTAGTTTTTCGTACTCAGTTTGTTTGGTTGGCTCGGGCATAGGTGAGTTGAAATCAGGGAGCAGAGATTTAGAGGTGTTACTGGAGTGGAATCAGATGCGGAGCGAGGACAGCGAAAAGGCAGTTCGCGATTATGCTATCAAATATCAAAGCTACCCATAACTTGAAAAACGCGGGTCAACGATCTTGAATCCATAATACCACTCAACAAACACATTAAACAAAGATGGATTTTGGAATCACATCTTTGATCCTAGACGGTAGCAATGGAACCAAGACATACGCAGGCTTGAGTACAGAAGAGGCTCCATCTTTGATAATTTCTAACGACTACAAAAAGCTTGTTGACCGCATCAGTTTTGAGAGAATTGACTCCTCACCATTTGGAGAGATCTTTACCATGTACAATGATGGGCTTATCTATAACTGGGAGGCCCTTGAAGAACAATGGAAGTTCATATACGAAAAACACTATAAATTGGAGAGTAAAGAAATGCCTCTCATTCTTACCGAAAATCACTGGAATAGCAAAAAAAATCAAGTTGAAACCTGCCAGTTAGCATTCGAAAAGTTCGAAGTCCCTGTATTCAGTATGTTAAATAGCCAATCATGTACTAGTTATGGTACAGGTAGGGCCACATCTTTAATTATTGACCTGAACGACGCTTTCATCAGTGTTACACCTATCGTTAATGGTAGCATTATGACTAAGGGTGCAATCCACAACAAATTCGGAGGGGATTTCCTAAATTTGCATACATTACGATACCTACAACGCAAAGCTGGAGATGGAATCGATGTAGAAGAACAAATTGCATCCCAGGGAGGTAATGCTACCACTTTGCCGTCTGTGAAAGCTTATAGGGTTAACCGATTCCTGAAGCAGTTCCGAAGGAATATAGGATCCATGAGTCAATATATCTTACCTCCTGTTGTAGAAGGCTTATCATCTGACTACCATCTCACGGCAAAAGACTATTTGATCAATGGATTCGTGATCAAAGATATAAATCCACTGGATCAATGCCAAATGGTGGAACCTTTGATGCAACCTTTTAGCTATACCAATGCTTTCCATCCCGACATCAGTCTTTCACAGGAAAATACTTACGGACTGTCAGAGCTAGTTTTAAATTCGTTGAAAAAATTAGAGACCACTCAGAATGTCTACCAGGCTTTGTTAAAAGGTATAGTAATCACAGGAGAGAATTCTTTCATACCTGGACTTGAACAAAGGCTTATTAACGATTTGGTCAAAATATTATCCAATTATACTATCGAAACTTACTCTAACGTCAACTTAGATGAAAGAAACTTGGCAACTTGGAATGGTGCACTAATTTTATCTTCCATGAACAGTGGCAATTTTGATAATATTTTCATCAGCAAGAAGGAGTACGAGGAATTTGGAGAGAACGCTGTTTTGGAGAGGTTCAAATAGATTGTATGATAGTGTTTTTTGAAAAGTAATAGATTGAGCTTTCTTAGATTGGTTTCGAAACATATGATAATGAATGCTTGAGTCTTCTGCGAATCTTTTTGTTGTAAACGTAAAATCAAGTATCAGTGTATCAAAAAAGTAATATAATGGTAGTAATCACAATAGCACAGTTTGGTAGGAAAGTTTTGTTAGTAGTAGTATAACGTTTATACTTATACTTATAGTATCTAGATGCATTGAAGTTATTCAAAAGGTCCCTTGGCCCAGTTGGTCAAGGCATCGTGCTAATAACGCGGGGATCAGCAGTTCGATCCTGCTAGGGACCATTTGATTTTTTTACTTTTTTAGTATCTGCATTAACTTCGTGCTCATGGATACGTTCACATCGAACCAAACATGCAGTTTCTCAGTCTAGGGTTAGTGACTCAAGCTGACTTTGAGCACTCAGTAACTGCGGAAACCTTCTCTTAATCGTTGATCTAGTTCAGAAATCAGCACCATCAAAAGCGCAACATATCACCTTGAAACAATCATTTCTAACGCTGGCTAATTGAACTCAAAAATTGATGCTCTTAAGCTAAACTGAACAGAATCGTATTTCTTCAGAAAGGGAATAATACCTTTAATATTTTATGTTAGCAAATAATAAATAACTGTCAGCAAGAAGCCATTCTAGTATAGTGGTTAGTACACGTCGTTGTGGCCGACGAAACCTTGGTTCGATTCCAGGGAATGGCATTTATTTTTAATTCCTGTTTTGCACTCAATCAATATTGTACTCAAGGCTCCATTATATCAGATTCATTCTTTTTTTTATACTGAGTGATACATCAGTGATGCGGGAACGGAAATATATTATCTTCTTCAACACAGATTACTTCACTTCTGAAAAATTGTGGAGGCTCATCGCACTGAAAGCGCGCAAGGAAGGATCACTGCAAAGTTAGAATAATCATATCTTGGACCTACGATTTTACTTTGAATTTCCCTTCTGTGTTTTAACTAGCCCAGGCACTGTACAAGATGAGCCCCACTAACTTTGGTTTCTCGCCTTTGGAAACATCTATTGGCGCCCTGCTTATTCAATTTGCAACTACATCGTATTTGATTCAAGTGGGGAAAACTGTGGGTTTCTCTTCCCTAATTGGAAACTTCAACTTCAACATCGACAACAGCTCCCTTATTATTGGGCTATACCTATCGTACCAGTTTGCCAAGTCCTTGATTCCCGACTTCTTGCCTGTTCATGACCCGGACGTTTCAAGTTCCACTCTCGTTGTTGCTGGTCTCTTAGTGGGAGTTGGTTCCAATCTAGCTTCTGGCTGCACTTCTGGACATATGTTAGCAGGTTTATCCCGACTCCGTTTTAGAAGTTTGGTCGCAACGGCATTATTTTTTGTTGGTGGCATTTTTTCCACAAGTTTCACTCCTGTCAAGAACGGATGCCGTAATCGAATGGGTCAAACAATCAATTGTTTTCAGTATGATACATCCTTTGAAGTTTTTGAGCAAAACAAAGGTGTTTTGCTCTCTTTGGTGTTTACCGGATTTACGCTGACTTATTTTCTTTTACCTCTTGTCAGTTCTTGCGTTAAGGAGAATGCACTTTATTCCACTGTTTTGAGAACTGTTAGCGGTACCATCACAGGGTTCTATTTCGGTACAGGCTTATTTATCTCAGGTATGACGTCCTCAGATAAGGTATTGGGATTTTTGAGGGTCGTAGATCCAATCAGCTTTGATCCTTCCCTTGCACTAATTGTTGTGTTTGCTGTGATTCCCAATATTTTTATCTGGAGGCATATACTCAATCAACCGAAGTATCCAGTTCTTAATGATAAATGGGATTTGGCTACCTCTAACGATATATCAAAATCTCTAATTATCGGCTCATTGACATTTGGCCTTGGATGGGGAGTTGTGGGTGCTTGTCCAGGCCCTGGTTTATTGTCCTTTTTTGTCGGTAAACGTGAATGGCTAATTGGTTTTCTAATCGGATATCGGACTACCAAGTTCTTGAAACCATATTTATTTTGATATTTCTAGTTAGACTGTGCCACTATTTTGAATGACAGTATGTCATTTTTTCCGGAATCTATTAGGTCATCTTCACTAATCCTTTTTCCTCCTACGCCTTCAATCACAGCGATAGTGACTTCGCCCATTATATATCTGGCTACCGACCCAACAGGAGTGCCTCTTCTCAACAACACACAATCTCTAAAAACGTTTGTTCCTGAGTTTCCGGTGAAAGTTGTTATATTTCTGACCGTGTAAACTGGGATAAGATCCAATACACCTACAGCTACTTGTAAAACTTGTACCACACCTGTAGATCCAAATCTATAGAGAACTAAATCTCTGATGGTTTCTATTCTTTGCGCTAGTTTTTCATCCAGTGGTTTCAGACCACTGTCCTCACCCAAATCTTCATAAGTATCCACAAACTCAGTTCCCTCTTCGTAGTGAATAAATTTCTGTTTAGCTAGTTTTCGGAGAAGGACTTCTGTTATAGCGGATGTCAAGACTGTGTTCGTTTCAGGATATTTTAACATAATTTTGGAGACATTCTTATCAGCATCAGGGTGGTCAATTTTATTCAACGCCAGCACAGTAGGAAATTTAACTTGCATAAATGATTTGACCACTCTAGTTATCCACTCATTATCCCATTTATCTAAGGGAGGAAGATCTTTAATGTTACGTAAAGCTTCATCTATCAACTTTCTACCAGCTCCATAGCCACCAAATTGTAGCTGCATAGTATCTACAATAGAGGCCTTAGTGGCAGTGTGCTTCCGGACTATGGAACCCCACCGTTTGTGGAGATTCCCTTCAATCCACAGACGAATCTCATCCTGCAGCCACTCAATATCCTGTAGCGGATCATAACCCCTGGTTGCCTTACCGTTGGAGTCAGTTGTTCCACTGACATCAACGACGTGGATAAGCGCATCAGACTGTCTTAAATCATCCAGAAATTGGTTTCCCAAACCCAATCCTTGGGAAGCACCAGGAACTAACCCTGCAACATCTAGCAGCATTATTGGGACAAATCGCCGACCATTTTTACACCACCCATAGTTAGGTTTGCACAAGCTTTCCTTTCCAAATCTAGAGCAAGCACAATCTACCTGGAGATATCCAGTGGCTCGGTTGGGCTCAATCGTAGTAAAGGGAAACGCTCCAACTTTTGCATCGGCATCGGTCAAACTATTTAAAGTTGTAGATTTTCCACTAGATGGTTTCCCCACAATACCTATTAAAGGATCTCGGGGCATTCTTAACACTTAATAAGGTATTCAAACGATATTTCAACCTCTTGGGCGGCTGTTCAAGAATATATGAAAAATATAGGAAGAGATAACCAGGTAGATGATCCGAACACCATGAGAGAGTTATTCAACTGCAGATGGGAACAATTGAATCTGAGAAGAGATGTATCACAAGAACAACAGATAGGGCACAGCTGATACATCATAATCAGTGACCTGTTTGATATTGAATCACTGAAGAATGTAATGGACAATAAAAGCTAGTGCTGTGAATGCAAACTGAGCTCATCACTTTTGTGTTTTAAAGAAAGCAAAAATGTACGAATTAGAATTTCCATCAGATGGAGAGTTTGAAGTAGAGTTTGTCTTGTTTTATTTCACTTCTGCCTCTGTTTTGTTGTACCTCATTGGAAAGATACTCTTCTTTTTGGGCCAAAGAAAAAGAGAGAATATTAAGCTTGAAATCTATCAAGAAGTTTTAGAGGATTACCATCAACAATTAAAGGTGCTTAGAGATGACACCAGTACTTTGAGAAGAATTCTGGAACAAGAGAACAGCCAACTCAGATTGTCAATCAAGAACATTAGATCTGATATGGCCTTAAAGGAACGAAACTTGAAAATGGAGGTAGCAGACCTTAATATTCTTTTCGAAGACAAGTTAAGCGATTCCGTTTTCAAGCTAAACAGTCATCTGATATCTACCACCAGAGATATGAAGCACATCGAGAACTTGCTGAATACGAAGTTAAGCTACTACTATGACCATTTATACTCTGAGGTAGCTAGGCTATCTAATTTGGAAGGTTATCTTTCTCAATATGAGTCAAAAACAGAAGACTGCGGGGAAAATGAAATTTGCAAAACTGGACAACAGGAAATTTGCTTATCCAGCCAGAACCCTAGCAAAGATACCAACCAGCTTCTCTCACCAATAAGCTTTTTGAACAGTCCGACGACTCCAAAAAGACCCAACTTATCAGATCCAAACTTGAAAGTCCAACTAGCATCTTCATTGGAAACCATCATATCTTCTCCAAAACTAAAAGAAAATGTTTCTAATTTCTAGTTTAACTCTTTACTTATTATTAAATAGTTGACATCAGTGCATACAATGTAATCAAGTTCATATTTGCTGCCCTTCTTCCTTTTAGCCTCCCCTCGCCTTGCCTGGATTCTTCTTAGACGTTTTACGACCTCGCGATTTCGCATAACTAGACTTGCAAGGCTATATCTAATGATTCTTATACTCTTGGTGCGAGTTGATTGTTGTATTTATAGATTCCAATGTCATTAGCAGGTCTAGGTGGAATTTCATCAATACAAGAGCTGCAATTATTAAAAGCTGAGATTCTCGGAAATGATAGCGCAAAGCAACATCATCTGAATTCCTCGGTTACTTCACTAATAGACTCTCTTATTGCTACGCTGACTTTCAACGATAATCAAGAAATTCTCAAGAATTGTTCTATAATTTTGGAATCATTCGCATATTTCAAGTTCAATACTACTCAGCTGATCAAAGAGAAAGGAAACAAAATTGTTGATGCATTGATTGTAAGCTCCTTAAAGCATCAAGAACTATGCGAAGTCAATTTCAAAACCATCAAGTCATTACTTGCCCAAGATTTGCCTGAGTGTACTATAAATCTGTCTATCAACAAGCAAGGAGAGAATTTAATGGAACTGATTTACGGAATATTGAATTTATCTAATAAAAATGTCTCGAAGGAGTTACTCAGTTGCACTTGTAAATTGGTTCCCTACTTACAGACACCTTCCTTGACCAAGTTAATTACGCCGCTCATGAATCGGCTTTCCGTGGAGTTCACCCCGATTTTTGTTTTTCTATTGAAAGAGAATTCATTGGAGAACTTTACCACGTCATGGTATCAAATAGTACCCCCTCATTTCTCAACGCCAGACTTGGTTTCGAGTGAAATAGTCTCTTATCTTTTTGCTTTATCTTCAGTTTTAAAGCATTTGATGGTAAGAAATGAAAAAGGTAGATTCGAAATGCCCCAACCGTTTTATTACGTTCTGACATCGTTCTTAAGGAATGAAGATTTATGCTTAAAACTTATAACGATCAACATTCTGATCTTGTATTTGAAGAATTGGCCTGGTACTGCTGAGTTGAAGACACTTAACCAGAAGAAGTTGCTACCTAGCTTGATAACCATGATTGATCTTTTTCATAAGACTGACGGCTCCAATAAAGATATATCTCTACAATTAGATGACCTTTTCGTTTCTTCCAACCTAAAGATTATACGTAAAATGAGTCCATTATATCTTCTATCTTTGCTAAGCGAGGAGGATGACATCAACGAGTTTTTTGCGGACAATAACTTTATCATGAAGCTTGTCAATATCATTTCGAAGAATTACAAACCTGAGAAAGATAGTTCGAATTCTGACTACTTGGACCCGAAATCGCTTTATACTGTTAGCGATTGCTTG